AGTGTCCTCAACTTCAGTCTGGCATGGATGTCATGGATGCCTTAAGACCGAGAGGGTGTTGTATGTCGTGGGCAGTTACGAGCTTGTAAGGCTGGAACCGTTGTACTGCCTTTTGGATTTTTAAGATTCTTTGGAAGGGCAGGAATGCTTTTACTTGCATGGCATTGAGTTGTGCCCCGATGTAATTGACAAGTTGGGAAGGCTCTAAGTGGGACTTTTCCCGATTTATTTTCAGGCCGGGTTTGTCTAAGGTGTCAAGTGGCTGTGATGGCGTTGTGGCAGGATTGGGCAACCAGGAGCCAGTTGTCGATGTATGGGAAGAGTTTTACTCCCTTGGTATGGAGGTATGCCACCACGGGAGCCATACACTTTGTAAATGTTCTGGGGGCTGTTGAACGCCCGAAGGGGAGAGCAGCAAATTGATAAGTGCATTTTCAAACCTGAATCTGAGGAATTTCTGGTGAGACAGATGGACTGATACATGGAAATAAGCGTCCTTGAGATTGATGGTGACAAACCAGCTCCCCTGGGATAGAAGAGGGAGAATGGAGTCAAGGGTTAACATACGGAACTTTCTACAAAGTATGTATTCGTTAAAGTCTCTAAGGTCCATGATGGGTCAAATACTTCCATCCTTTTTAGGGACTGCAAAGTATTGAGAGAAATATCCCTCACTTAAGTCAGAAGATAGAACTCTGACTATAACACCTTTTCTGAGGAGGGATGATATTTCCTGGTGCAAAAGTACAGAGAGAGGGGTGGGCCTAATGGAATTTGGTGGAGGGATTTCTGAGAATTCTATTAGGTAGCCTTTTTTAATGATAGCTAGAACCCACTTATCAGTTGTAATCCTCCGCCATTCTGGGAGGAATGGGGAAAGTCTTGTGGGGCTATTGAAGGAATTAGGTGAACTGCTTACCCCTGCGCTGAAATTTGCGAAAGGGTTCTCTGGAGCACTGGTTCTTAACCTTGGGTTACTCAGGAGTTTTGGACTGCAACTCCCAGAAGCCTTCACCACCAACTGTGCTGGCTGAGATTTCTGGGAGTTGCAGTTCAAAAACATCCGAGTAACAAAGGTTAAGAACCACTGGTCTGGAGCCTTGGTACTGTTGCTGTTTGAATTGCAGGGGGTTGGTTTGTGGTGGCTGGTAAGCCCGCTCATACAGCTGTTACTTCGTGTATTGAAAGGGCTGATACTGCTACTGCTGTTGGTAGGGGGGCCTCTTGTAAGAAGGCTTCTGGTATTTGTATGGTTGGTACAGTATGTATGATTTGGCCGTCTTTCTCATCTTGTGGATGTTTTCCATTATGTCATCCGTTTTGAATTAAATAGCCCCGCAGCATCGAAAAGGAGGTCTTCAATCTTATTCTTGGTATCATCCACGATGTTAGCCGCCCTGAGCCAAGCATGTCGCCTGACTGCTACCGAAGCTAACATGGCTTTAGAAGCTGTGTCAGCAGCATGTTTCGTCACAATCCTCTGTTGCTTAGCAAGAGTATTGGCCTCTGTGTAGATATTCAGAGTTTCAGCCTTTGATGGTTCTGGTAGGGCTTGCAGCACGGGGAGAATCCTGTCCCACAGATGTTTCTGATAGTCGCCCATCGCTGCCTGGTAGTTGGAAATTCTGATCATCAGCTCCACTAGAGAGTAAAGTTTTCTCCCCAAGGAGTCAATTTTTCGTCCCTCTCTGTTTACAGATGTTGTAAAGGACCTGCTGCGGGACTTGTACTGAGTGGCCTTGACCACTATGGAATTAGGGACTGGATGTTTGACTAAAAAGTCTGCGTCCAATCCATGCGTCAAATCGTGGGATTTGTAGAGTAGAGGGCAGCTTATCCCATGACTCTTTAATGACCTTAAGGAGCGCTGGGATGAGGCTCAAGTTAGGTGGAGGTGACTTGTCCTGGTCCATGTTGTGGAATACGAGCTCCTTTTCGTGCTGTGCTGATAACTGAGCTAAATTTTTTAATTTTATTTTCAAAACTATTGGGTAATGGGGAAGGAATACAAAAGGCAAAGGGCAGTGGGGGGGATGGAAAAAGGGTTTTGAGAATAAGAAAACATCAAATGCATAATCATTCAATCTTACATATCAAATATATAAACATCTAATCTATTCATGTTCCAATAAAGGTTCATCTTTCTTCTTCTTTTTCTTCTTCTTCTTTTGACTATTTTGTCTATGTATTAACCTCTTTAGCTTTCAACTTATACGTGTAATACAGCTTAAATCTATGTTATTCCCACAGCATCAGAACACCAAGGCCAATTGTGAAATATATCCCCTCTTTCACCCTCCTTTTTTCTTGAGAATGCACTCAGCAGACCCAAAATAATATAAATCCTGCTCTCCCCTCCCCTTTCCTCCCTGTGCTTGTTTTGTTTCTGCGACTCTTTTTTCTTCCATATTTTAAAAGGGGAAACAATATCATTCAAAGTTTGCTTTTCAACCTCAATCGCTACATCTCTTACTGGGTGGTCCTCCATCCCTTGTATATTATCTGATATCTTCATCAATACAGGCGGTTCTGAGATCTCTTTTTGGTGTAATTTAACCTCTGCTACCTTCCCTCCCCTAGAGCCTCCAATCACGTCTTCCATCTGGTCAATATAATAATTTACCTGCATAAATTTTTGCAACAGTGACATCTGAAAAGAAGTTTTCCAGTCTAGCCACCGATCTGTAATTTTCTCAGGGGGAGGTTCCATTTTCCACTATTTTCACTTAA